GTTCAATGTCTATAAAAGTACTGGAGGAGTGTAATCTATGCTCGAGCGGCTTTTCTTTTGCCCTTGAGTGGGTATGTTTTGCAGTTGTGTCTTGGCGCTCGAGCGAGCATTTTTGCGCTTGAGTGGGTTCAGTTTTTTATGCTTGACGCTCGAACGTCCTATTCTCCACTCGAGCGGACTAGTCGTATGTCAGATGGCAGCTGGGTGATTTTGAATCACTTTTTACATTTCCTTTCTCTCTCTTACTTTTCTAAACCCTCTTTTGAGAGCTCCTCTCTCTAGGATCTACCTTCTCTCTAGGGATTGATCTAGCTAGAGTGATCTCATACCCTTGAGCCTTTACAAAAAGTGTAGAGCTTGGTGTGGGCTTCCTATCAATCTAAAAATTTCTTGATTTGGAGCACTTCGGGTTTTCTTCATCATCTCCTTTGGGTTCCATCTCTTGAGGTAGGGATAACTACTCATTCCTTTGGTCTTTAACATAAATTATTGGTCATTTTGATGTAATGTTGGAGTTAGGTAATTTTGGGTGTTAGGGTTTCAAAATGAAAAGAGGGGTTTTGTTTATTTGGCTCATACATTTGTGTTTTGGGTCTAAAATGGAATTTATTAATGTTGTTGATAATATTTGGACCCTTGGGTCAATATTGAGAAAAATGGGGAAAATGTCATGTTTGTATATATTTGGGTCATTAGTGTAATTAATGACATTTATTATGGAATTATGAAATTGAGTTGGAAATAATGAAATTGACATAATATGGGGTGGAATGGTGGAGTTGGATTTATTAATCACTCACCTTTGAAAATTGTTGATAAATTATCTGTTGAGGTAATTATTTTCTGTTTAGAAATAATTGTTTTAGGCTATCGGTGGAGGATAGTCTTGATTGTTATAGGCAGTGCATGATGATTAGGTGAACTAAAACTAATCAATTGAATATGTCATCGAATATGACGATTGGTAGAATACATTAAGTTTATGTATTGATTGATTATGTATATGATATGTGTTTATATACATTGTGTTGTGTGGGAGGAGATAGGAGATGTACTCCACGGTTTAGGGGAAGATAAGGGATGGACTCCTAAACTGGATATTGCTTGGGCGGAGATAGCGGATGGACTCCACGGATACAGCAAATATATGTATCGGTTGAAGTATTGATACAGTGAATCCGTGTATCATTTATGAAGTATAGAAGTATTCATGTGATATTGATACAGCAAATATGTGTATCTTTTGTGAATTGTGGAAGTGTTTAATATGAGTTGCTATCTCATTGAATTGTTGAAAAGGATGAATTATTGATATGAGATGTAATCTCATTTAAAGTATATGCCATGTTCTGAGCCAGGATTATGAATTGAGAAATTGGATAAAAAATGAAACATGGACACTTTGTCATGTAATTGAAATGTGTTATGAATTGATTTATGTGAGTTATACATTTATCAAATGCTAATGTTTTAGTTATTGCTCATATTATGTTTAGCATATCTCTACTGGACGTTGGCTCACCCTATGTGGGATATCATTTTCAGGTACAGGTAGACGTAACTTGAGAGACTTGGCTGGAACACCTTTTGTGATTACATTCTTGTATTACATGTATATCAAGCCAATGGCTTATTTTGTGTTTTGAGTTAGTACTCTCTTTTTTGCAACTAAGTGTTGGCTTTGGAAAGTTGTAAGCCATGGCACCTACTTTTGTTGTCTACATGTAATACATTTTGTAATGAATACTCTGATGAAATGTAATTATACTTTATTCCCTTATGTCTAAGCATGTCAAGAATATATGATTTCTGGGTTTATTTTGAGGGCGTTACATAACTAAATACATAATTCGAAACTCCACACTACTTTCAAAACTTTACACTCAAATCATAACCAAACACATAACAAAAAATTTAAAATGTTTAAAAATATTTTTATAAAATAAAAAAATATTTAAAATAAGAAAATAAAAAATATTTAAAATAAAAAATAATTTTTTTTAATTTTTTAATATTTAAAAAAATACAGTACAAAAATGTATGAAATATAATGCATATTAAAATAAATAAATAAATATTTAAAATATAAAATAGTTATCCTAAAAAAATAAAATTAAGAAAATTTTTAAATATTTAAAAATAAAATAAATCCAAAAAATTTTAAAAGACAACTCAAAACTCTTTTCAAAACTCATAACCAAACAATTTTTTTCTTTACAAATGTCATAAATCGAAACACGACTCCATACTCAAATCATGATTCAAAAAATAATTTTAAAACACAAAATAAAAAATATATTTTTTAATTTTTTTTAAAAATAGAATTTTCGAAAAAATTTGATTTTGAGTTTTGAATTGAGTTTTGAGTTGTGTGTTTAGGTATAAGTTTTGAAATTAATTTTTGAATAATTTTGAGTTGTGTGTTTGATTATGAATTTTGAAAAGTATTTTTAAAATTTTGTGTTAGAATCGTGATTCCAAAGGCTAACTAGTAATTTTGGAAATTTTTTTTTTTTTTTTTTTTTTGGGTTAGACAAATTTGAACTCAAAAATTGAGTTATGTTAAAATGTAATATTTTCATAAGGAAATTAATCAGTATTCCTGAAATATTACGTGTTCATACTCTTAACCAATCATTATTCATTATTCCCCCTCATGTCCCCTAATCACCCAATACAATATCCCACTTGCTCACCTTCTCTACCAATCACAATATTATGGAGTATCACGTGTCTATACTCCGAGATTACTGAGTAATTACCCGTTTTCATAAGGCAAGTGAGAAAGAGAAAAGAGATAATAAGGGTGGTGTGATTTGTTAAAGACTAGAAAAAAGTTCTTTTTTTGTTTTCAACATAACTTTTTTACCCACCTTAGTGACAAACGCCACAAGACATATTCTTACAATAAATTACATTTTTTTTTCTTTTTTTTCAGTTTTTACTTTAATTTTATCGGGTGCATTTAAAACCGGATCTATATTTATATTCTGACCTCAATTTTTTAGTAATGAATTTGATAAATTACATTTTAATTTAATAATTTTATTTGGAATTATATTATAATCTCATCATTACTTTCACCATGCCTTTAGACATAGGCATACACTAGTCTATTTATAATACGACATAATAACAAAATATATAAAGGGAACGAAGATAAAACGTAAAGTTAAAGGAAATGAAATGAAATTCAAAAGACACAATATTAAAAGGAATGGTGAATTATACTAACAGTTCTTATAGTTTAAGACTCATGTCGCTTTGGTCCCTAACTTTTTAATTGTGACATATTTGACTCTGAATTTTGAATCTTGTTCCAAATAAGGTCAATTGAAGATACCATTGTTCAATTTCAAGGGCAAAGTCGTCAATTTGATAAATATAAACTAATTTAACAAAAATAAATGTCAAAAAAATATTTTTGAATTTTTAAAAATAATTTCTACCTACCAAATATAAAATTATGTAAAATTAATAAATCTTTTAGACATTTATTTATTTTACTAAATTAATTTTTATTATATGTTTGGATGATGATCATGTAATGGGTGGTTGTTAGACTTTTAATATGTAATCGATATATTAATATATGAAATATTTTTAGTTTTGAATTTTTTGATTTAATTGATTGGTTTAATAATGATATCAAAGTTGTTGTCATATTTGAATTTTGGAAAAATAGAAACTAATTTAATGAAAATAAAAATAACCACCCATTACATGATCATCATCCAAACACATAATAAAAATTAATTTGGTAAATAAATAAATAAATGATTAAAAGATTTATTAATTTTACATATAGTGGGTAGAAATTATTTTTAAAAATTTAAAAATATTTTTTTGGCATTTATTTTTATCAAATTATTTTATATTTTATTAAATTGATGACTTTGCCCTTAAAATTGAGCGATGACACTTTCAATTGTCCTTATTTGGAACAAGATTCAAAATTCATAGTCAAATGTGTCATAATTGAAAAGCCAATGATCGAAATGATATAAGATTCAAAATTATTTTTTGCGACAATTTCGCCAAGACTTATTTTCAATAGGACCTATTAGACAATAAATCTACTTATTAAAACATACACGTAAGTTCACCAAAATATTATATAAATCAATGGTATAACTTATTCATTACATCGGTAGTTATGCGGGCCTGGAGCACAAACAACAAAGGCTTGTCTTTGGGCCTCCAAATTCGTTAGTGCATTATAGTGCAATAACTCAATTATAATTCTATGCTTGTTGCTATTTTTAATTGGTTTGGTGCTTCAATGGAAATCTCTAATCTCTGTTGTATTTGTGAAAACATATTATTTGCCCATATTAGTCATTGTGAAGGCCTGCAATTATTTTTAATTGGTTTCGTGCTTCAAGTAAGTTGGCACAAGCATGTTTGGTGGTAGGCTAGGCAATGGAGCTTCCAAATTAAGAACTTGAATTGCTTGCCTTATCGAAGGCCTATAATTGTTGTCTGGGTGATATGCCTCAAGTTTCACATTTGCTGCTTCGAGAACATTTCCTCTTCTATAGAGCTCCCAAACCTTCTTTAGCCATGGGGTCAATAGGCTTTCTTCCACAAGCAATTTCCAAAGCAACAATGCAAAAACTGTAGACATCTGATTCTTTGTTGGCCTCTATGTTACGTGGACTCGAGTACGGGTGTCAGGTGCGGATATGTATCTAGAGGTCGGACTCATCAAATCATAAATTTAAGGGTACACGGACTCGGAAAAAAAATGTCATATTTTTATATTTTTAATCAAGTATGTAAGATAAAATGGTACAATATGTAATTTACAGTATCAAAATGACATTTGTAGAAATTATACAACAATATGTACATATAATAATAGTGTTATATATAATTATATAAGAGGTATCCGTTGAAAAGTATCCAACACATATCACATACCCTTGTCCAAGTGTCGGATGTCCAACACAGGTATTTGATTTATTTTGAAGAGTCTGTGTAACATAGGTTGGCCTTGCCTTTCATGAGGCACTCAGGAGCCATGTACCCCATTGTCCTGGGCAGGATCCTAGTCTGTGACCCTTTCCTGTGGTCAACAAGATTGGCTAACCCAAAATTCCCAAGCTTAGCATTGAAATTTGAATCCAACATAATGTTGCTCAATTTAATATCTCTGTGCAACAACACTGTTCCCATCTTCGTGTAAGTACAACAGTGTCGTGGCTAAGCCTTTAGCAATATGGTACCTTGTCAACAATGTCAAAAAGGTGTTGCTTTTGAAGAGATGAGAGTCCAAGCCACCATTGGGCATGAACTCATCGAGAAGTAAGAGTTCTTTTTCTTCATGGCACCAACCTAGAAGTTGCACCAAATTCCTATGCCTCAATTAGCTAACGATCTTCACTTCTGATGCATACTCTTTAATCCCCTGTGTAGACTCCCTCAACACCCTCTTGACAGCAACATAGGAATTTAAATCCCTCAAGAAACCTCTATAAACGTTGTCAATTCCACCCTGTCCAGGCTTCTCTTCCTCCACAAAGTTCTTTGTTGCAATGGCCAATTCTTTGTTTGAAAACTTCTTAGGTCCTGTTTCGCCTTCAAACTCATAAAAACATTGAAATCATGATCATCTTTCTTTTAAACCCCATTTTCCTTCTTCTTGTTCTTCTTCCTTGAGCTAAACCAAAGCAAGACCAATCCACTAATTAGAACACATGCACCTACAATAGATCCCACTAGTACCCCTCTATTGTTTATTCCATTTTGTTCTTGGTTGGGAATTGTTGGTATTGGCTCCAAATCAATTGCACTTGATGGATCTGAATTCAATAAATTTGGAGCGATTTGTATATTAAAACTAAAATTCCCAAGAGTGAAAGAGTATGGATCTCAAATAATGATCCTGTTACAGCAGAAAAGCCTAAAGTAACCCACTCTAGCAAATACTTGCTTAAATCAACTATACGAGAAAGCTTTTGCAGGATTGTGGTGTTTCCATTAAGAAAAAATTGGTGAATGCAACACTCCAATTTCTCGAGCTAGAATTGTAACTAATTCAGAGTCACCAACATGATTTGCGCTCCGAGGGCGGATCCCAAGGGTTTGGATACGTGCTAAACTCTACTAGCACAAATGGATTGGCCGATGAGTTGAATAGTTGTGCACAGTAGACGAGGCCTACCTACTTGGACATCTTGGATGGGGAAGCCAACCGGTGCAATGAAAAATGCAATCACATCGGCGTGCATGGTCCTAGTTTGTGAGTTCATGATGAATGAGAAATGGGTATTGTAGTCTCCATGTGCTCCTAAGGCCATGTCCTAAAGTGGCATCGGTTTGTAGTACGTGATGCGGCCTGTACTTGATGTCATGTTTTTGTCATTCTAGTTTACGGTTAGTTGGATGACTGGATCGGAGGGCAAAGCTTCTCCATAGTAATTTATGTCATGAATGTTTGGATTGAACTCGGTGAAATTGAAAGAGAGTTGAGCAAAACAAGGGACTAATAGAAAGAAGAAGATGAAGAAGAATAAGACAACCATTGAAGGAGGTCTATGGAGGTCTGGCTGATCTACAATAGTGAGGTAGAAGGGTTACATTTGTCATGTAATGACAGTTTTGAAGAAGTCTTCAAGTTTTAAAGTCCTTTTGTCCTGGTTTTTTTCAGCTTAATTTCACATCACAAGCTGGCTTTGCTTAATAAAAATCTTCATAGGAAGAGAAAATTCTTGTATCATGATTTTAGCATTTTGATCTTGCTCTACTTGTTTTATTATGCATTTTTTTTTCTCTTGATCATCTAAAAAAAGTAAAATTTTATAATAATAATAATGGGGACTTACGTGTAGGTCTAATCACTACAACAAAAAGCACTTTTGGCGACCAAAACTGTATTTTTCGTTGCTGAAAGTAGTAGAATTGGCGACTAAAATGGAATTAGTCACCAAAATTGATCACTTTTGCCGACTAAAAGAGTTTAGTCGCCAAATATAAGGGTATTAGCGACTAAAAGGCAGTTTAGTCGCCGAATGTAGGGGTTTTAGCGACTGAAGGTTGTTTAGTAGCCAAAAGTCACGATTTTTGGCGACTAAAAATGATTTAGTAGCCAAAAGTGATGATTTTGGTGACTAAACGGCAGTTTGGTCGCCGATTATAGGTGTTTTGCCGACTAAAAACAGTTTAGTCGCTGAAAGTGAAGCTTTTTGGCTACAAAAAAAAATTAGTAGCTAAAGGTCAAGAATTGCCGACTAAAATGCAGTTTAGTCGCCCAAAGTAGAGGTTTTGGCGACTAAAATTCAGTTTAGTTGCCAAAAGTGCTATACTTAGGCGGGATTTAATTCTTTTAGCGACAGAAAACAAATTAGTAGCCAAAAAATGGAGAATTGGTGACTAAAATTCAGATTTAGTCGCCAAAAGTGCTATCCTATTTTTTTTAGTAAATAATTTATTTTTTACATAAAATATATTAAATAAAAATAATTACTTTTATATATACAATTTTGTATTAATACCAGTCAATATAGTATATAAATAATAAATGTTGCATTAATATTCATGTGATGTTGTAGTGGCGTAGTGGGGAGAAAGTGTTGGTAAAGGTTGACAATGTTGGGACGTTGTGGGTTCGAAACTTGGGACTAGTAGAGGCAATTTATTTTTTTTTTTCTGAAAAATGGTTTTGGCGACTAAAGTCTGTGGTCGCCGAAAGGAATACTTTTTGGCGACGAAAATTTAGTCGGTAAATGGTTAAATAATAATAAAAAAATCAGTATTGGCGACTAAAAGTTTAGTCGCGAAATGTATAATTTCCAAAAATGGAATTGCATTTGGCGACAAATTCTTTCGTCGCTGAAGACCTATATATTGCCGACTAACAGTTTTTTAGTCGCCAAAGGTATTCGCGACCATGTATTCGCGACAAAACCAGCGACTAAAAGTTTTTGTCGGGGAAAGTGAAAATTCGACATTTGGCGACTAAAAATTTAGTCGCCAAAGGTGTTTTTTCTTGTAGTGAATAGGTGGACTTATTGTCCAATATGACCTATGATAATTAATGACGTTTTTCATCAAACACTATTAAAAAATGTCATTAATTATTAATTTTCAACAACAGTTTGAAAATTTTGTTACAAAAGATGTTATTAATTATAAGTTTTAGCAATAGTTTAAAAAAATCGTCACAAAAAAAGTCACTAATTTTTAACTTTCAATGACAATTTAAAAAATTCGTGAGAAAAAAAAAATATTAATTGTATGTTTTATCGATAATTTATAAAAATCATGACAAAAAAAGTTCATAATTGTCAATTTTTAGCAATATGTAAAAAATTGTTACAAAAATTTATTTTTAGCAATGATTTTATTAAGATTTTTTTTTAATAAAATTTAATGAAAATTAACTCTAACTATTAAAACCTATTGATAGTTTTCTCTAACAATAATTGGGAGACGTGTGAAACAAAGATGGAAATAGTAAAAGAGTTAGACAATCAGTCCTGAATGTGGACAAGTCTGCTGGAATCATAACCCAATTAAACAGTAGCCACTCTTAAGTAATACAAATTTATAAAGAAAAATTTTACACTATTATCTATATCTATCAACTATTTTCAACAATTTGAGAATGAAAATTTAAATTTATCAAATCACAAAAACAAAAGCTTTTAGTACTTGCATCTATATCTATCAATTATTTTACACTCTCATTTCGACATTTAGTGGGAAAGCTTGTGTGGATGTAGCAGTTCTCAATTGTTTGATTTTTTAGAATATTTAAAAAAAAGAAGGAAAAAACTCCTTAAACAAAGAGAGCTGCTACATTCGCACAAAAGCATTCCCACCGAATGCCGGAAATGAGGTGGCAATATTTGCTACAAATTGAGTCCAGTTGCTACATGTGCGTGAAATACATGCACAACTTCAAACTTTCCTCTCTTTCTCTCTCTCTCCTCTCTCCTACCCACAATCTCTCCGGCCAACTGCCTCCAGAGGGGAGTGTGAGAGGGAAGTGCGTGGGTGAGTTTTTTTTTCAGAGTTGGCCATGTCATTCGAAGGGATTCGGGCATCGAGAATTGTGTGGATCAAGCTTTATGCAAGAAATACAATGGGCAAAAGAGATTGATGAGCATTTCAATTTGTACTGGTTCCCACGTTTTGATTAATGCTCTTTGTACTAGATTTGCTCCACGTTTCAAGTATCTAGTGTAACAAAAGTCTTGATTAAGATTTTTTATACTTTAAGTACTATCAAATTTTTAATAATTGAAATTACCCTTCAAATAATAATTGTTTATCATTTATGATTATTAATAAAGGAACATAATGATTTGACATTTATTTTGATTTTTAAAATTTTAAAATATCAACTTTATGTGCAAAAAAATAATAATAATAATTTTTTTTTTTTGAAAATTTTGAATTTTTTTTGTACAAAACTAAAAATTTTGCGTCTATAAAGGAGCATGATGATGGAACCTTGATTTGCAAAACGGGCAAAAAAAAACTTTAAAAATAAAAAAACTAGTAATGTTTTCAGTTTTAAAACTGAAAAAAACTGTTAATGTTTTCGATTTTGTTAAATAATTGAATCAAATCAATAAGTAGAAGGGTAAAAACTTTAATCTCATGTTCTTTTCTTTTTTTTATCAGTTAATAAAATAATTATCTGGAATATTACTATGCAAAATTAATAATATTCTTAGTTTTAAAAATTAGGAAAAATTGATAATATTCTCAGTTTTACTAAATAGGATTTGTTGGTTTAAAAAATCTTAAATAGGATCTCAACTATCATAACATTTATAAATAGGATTTTTAGGTAATTAATTTTTTTTTTGTTATTATTTTTTTTATTTGAGTGTCTATCACCATTAGAATTAATCGCTTTAATTATACTAAAATAGAGATTAATATAATTATATCAAAAGAATAAAACAACTGTAATTTGCTCTAAATTTTAAGGAAATTGAGTTTAATTTTTCCTTATTTTAATTGTATGGGGTCCACCTTATGGCTCATTTTATTTATTAATTAAATTTTTTTTTGGGTTGAGAATCCTGATTTAGGCTTGTCTCCAATCCCAATCAAATAAGACGATATTTTTTGGTCTCCGTGGGCCCACTGTGGTGCCCAAATCGATGATCTGAGCTTGAATGTGTAGAATTCGTCGAGTATTTTATTCCTATAAAAAATCA